TACATATATTGCTCAAATTACTCAACCTGAATTAGTGGAACCAGTTTGGTTCAATTAATACAACAGTTTTAATTCTTATAGAGTGTGTAAAATTACTTTTACTTTCCCAATTTTTGTGAAGYTGTATGACTTTTAACTTGAGTAGTTTTCTGATCAGTGACATTTATTTTTACCAGTCATTTTCTGTTCATGTAATTTTACTTTTACTTAGTTGCCTTTTTTCAAGTACTTTACAGACCTCTGCTTATGTGTCAGTTACAAAACTGTTTTAATCAAATACTGGATACATTTTGATAACTCTTTAAGGAAATTGTCATATTGTGTTCATCTACAACTAATTGATCTGTTGGATATTTTRTGTTTGATGAACTGAATTTTAGATGCAGTCTTATATTTTATACTTTTTGATTGATYGCAGTCCTTTCCTTTAAACAGAGATTCAACAAGTCTCTGGTTTTAGTGTTTGTTTCTATAACTTGCTTCCTTGTTTTAGGGGTAATGACATCTTTTCCAGGGAGTGACTAGGTTCACTATAAAAGCATTGCTGTGACACGTAAGCTGGGCCATTTTTTGTCCACTGGGACGGGATGGTCCACAGTGCTGTGATAATCTTTATATGTGTGTAAATAAGTATTTAAAGCTGAGTACTGGACTGGTTTCCTTCGCTTGCTTCAGGGTCTCATGGCACACAATTCTTGTCAAACTTTTRAAGTCAWTCTAATTCAAGATGGCCACCCATCCCTCATAAACACCAAAATGACTKTAAATCAGTSAAYTTTACAGACATTGTGCTAAATGTGTAGCTGAGGGTCAGAACATTAAGTGCTACCCTAGCATCTAGAATCATTAGATGTATATTATCTCTGTAAACGCCTAATCACCATTAACCAACATAAAAAGGATTATAACTCAGTCARACTTAGAGATGTTGAGCTCAAATTGAATGCAGTTGTAGCAGATAGTCATTTACAACACCGACTCTGAGTGTGAGATCTGCTCATTAGCCAAAATAAACCACATCCCATGTAGGTACGCTACGAACCATAGGCCATCCATGTAGGCTGCATGTTGATTTGTTTGGGTTTAGCTCCAGTATCAGTCATTTCATTACATTTAACATCTCACTGCAGCATAAATTTTATCAGCTAAGTTGTTAAACATACATTTAAAAACAAATTAATCGGTCTGTGATGAATTTCCAGCCTACACTGCAAAAGGTTTTTCTGTTTAGTTTCCTGATCATGCAATGAATCCTGGGATATCGTCCACTTTACWGCATAGGATACTCAGATGCAGCCTATGTTTTCAGGGTTTAGTCGGCCGCATGAGTAGGCGCCYACAAATTGGGACAGCCTRCGGAGCGGCGCAGTGAYGTAAGCARCCAATAAATGGGCTGCAACCCCTGAAATGAGACACAGCCAWACGTCTGAGATCACACGTTATTTTCAAGGTCTGTTGTTCCTCAACATTAGAAGATCATAAGGCCCTGTCACACTATAACATTTAGACAACGTATGCCAACTTGTTAAAAAAATTATGACTGAAGCAATGAAACAGAAACAAGTTGACAGCCATTTAAAGCTTCTTTGCATCCTAAACGTTTGACCCAACCTGAAACAAAATAAATGTAGCTTCAAAGCTTTTGGAAGCTTTCCTGTAGCTCATCGTATAATACGAGGTCTGCAGCACCAGATTTATGACCAGTTTATGTCAATCACCTCAGTGTCGTGTAAATCCTTCCGATTCGGTGGCGGATCTGGAATTTTTCTGTGTAAGGGCCCATCAAGGGGCTACAATATTCATAGAGAGGCCAAGTTTTTATTCAGCATCCTTGCACACAAATCTTTGGTTTTGGTAAGGTGTATATATTTAACCAGTCACACGTTTAAGCACTTGTAATTTAAAAAAAAAGCTTGCACAGTACAATTTTACATGCATTTTACAGTATAAAGATAAAATACTCTCAAACACAGAGCATGTGAGATAATCATTTTTGAGCTGAAAGACATTTTCTGCAGGATTGTTCAAATTTTATGAAAAGAAAAAGACCTGTCAGCTTGATTCATGCAGGACTTTTCTATTGGTCTCATTAGCGCCTCTAGTGTTTGAACATGGAACTGCACCCAGCACAAACCTTCTTGGGCAAAGTGACAGGACAGGGGCACTTCAGGGGGCCAATCAAAGTTCAACAGGGGGCAATGCCCATGTGGCCCCGCCCCTGTCCAGATTATATAACAAGTCATTTTTGTTAAGACAATATGGATCAGATCCTAAATGTACATTTTTTTCTTTTAATATGGTTATCTCTTGGCATTCAAAAATGGACGACAAAGTCAGAATTTCATTGCTCAGAGAAACATGTTTTCATCTGTGCAT